GCTGGGACGCCCGTCATCGCCCCAGCGGGAGCTGCCGGTTGGGGAGGAATGTTCTGCACCCCTGCCTGCCCCTCTGTGTGTCCGTCCATCCATCCTTCCACCTCCTGCCTGCTGCACTGGGCTGCCTGGGAAGGTTTTCTTGGCAGGAGTGTTTGGCTGGGACTGTGCAGCTCTGTCCTGGCTCTCTGTTCCTTGTCACCATCCCTTGGCAGGGAGCTGAGGGGTTGGTGTGGCTGTGGTCCTGCTGGCTTTCTCCTTCCTGGGGTGCCTGTGCTGAGCCTGGTGTGCTCATATGGGCAGGAGGGAGATGAGCACTGAGCAAGCTGCTGGCCTCAGGACAGGCTGTGTCCTCCCCGTGTCAGCTCTGGGCAGAGATGGTCACCAGGGCCAGCGTGGGGCTGTCAGGGAGAGCTGGGGCTTAGGGCACTCCTGCCAGGCTGGGGGTGGAAGGCAGCACCCTGCTGCTGAACTGCTGGGTGATTTTGGTTGCCACTTAACACTTAGGTTGTTAATTGTCACATAATCTGTGTCATGGGCTCTCAGCAGGGCAGCAAGGCTCTCAGTGTGTGTCCCAGTCCTGCAGGCCAGGGCACCTGAATGCTTTTGGCTCTGCTGTGTGTCCCATTGGCTGGCACAAGCTGTCCTCAGGGCTGGTGGCTCATGACCAGGTGTGGAGCAGGTTGGCTGACAGGTGAGGGAGCAGCTCCATCATTCACAGATTTGACCCTGACAGCATCATACCCAGTTCTTCCGGACCTATGAGCAAACAGCAAGTGGCCAGGATCTTTTTTGGTAGTGGTAGGGACAAGGAGTGCCAGAACACACTCAGATGGTGACTTTATGGCCACTAAAGTTGCTCATCTCTGTTGGAGAACGTGGGAAGCTCAGGCAGAGGATGGCAAGCACTGTGACCTCTGCAGCATTACCAGCTGGGGTTGAGAACAGGGCCAGGGAGAAACCCGGGCTGGCACTGTGGGGGATTGTCATGTTTGGCTGGAAATCTGCTGGCAGGAAAGGACCTGGGGGATGCTGTCAGTGGTGCCCACGTGTGCCCAGGTGGCCAAGAAGGCCAATGGCACTTGGCTTGTACCAGCCATAGGACCAGGGCAGTGCCCATCCCTCTGAATTGGGCACTGCTGAGGCACCTCCAGCCCTGAGGAACCCTCACAAGAAGGACGTTGAGGGGCTGGAGCGTGTCCAGAGAAGGGAATGGAGCTGGAGAAGGGGCTGGAGCACCAGAAGCAGCTGAGGGAGCTGGAAAGGGGCTCAGCCTGGAGAAAAGGAGGCTCAGGGGGGACCTTGTGGCTCTGCACAGCTCCTGACAGGAGGGGGCAGCCAGGGTGGGGGTTGGCATCTGCTCCCAGGTAAAGTGACAGGACAAGAGGAAACGGCCTCAAGTTGTCCTGGGTAGGTTTAGGTTGGATACTAGGAAAATTTTTCTCCTTGATAGGGTGGTCAGGCACAGGCTGCCCAGGGCAGTGGTGGAGTTGCCATTCCTGAGGGTTCACAATATGTGTGGGTGTGTCACTTGGGGACATGGTTTATGGTGACATGGCAGAGCTGGGTGAATGGTTGGGCTTGGTGATCTTAGAGGGTGTTTTCAACCTAAACAATTCCATGATTCTACATTTGGAGTTATCATGGTGCCTGAGCATGGCTTGGAACTACACATGAACACCTCCCTAACCCAGCTAGGGTCTCACATTGCCCAGTTCCCAGCCTGGTGGGATTCTTTAGAGGGCAGGGGTACAACACTCTGGTGCAGGAGAGCTGGGGCAGTTGGACACTGGAGAGCAGGAGGAGCAGCTGCACTGGCCTAGAGAAACCCTCTGAGATGTCTCCTGGTGGCTGCATGAGGCCCCCATGATGCTTTGTGATGTCTCTGTGCTTTCCCATGTGAGTTTTGGCAGCTGGTGCCCGTCCATGGCCGCTTGCTGCACTCATCCCACTCTCATTGCAGAGTCTGTAGTGTTTGTCCACCAGCTGGCAGCAGCTCCCAGGGACATCCCTGGTGAGGCTTGGCCAATTTCCTGAGGGGCAGGATCTCCCTGGGGGATTCCTGCATCTCCAGTGTCTCTCTAGCACTGGGGAGATGGGACAGGATGGCGTGGGGGAGCACTGGGGACTGGCACCTGGGTCCTCCCCAGCCCCATGGTCCCCTGGCTGGGAGGGCCAGGGTGAGGAATGGGCCTCTTGGGTGCTTGGAGCTGTCTGGGCAGTGAGGTTTGGGGAATGGCAGTGGGGCAGATGTTGGTGTATGGGCGCTGGAACAGCCCAGCATGGCCAGGCTCAAAGTGGGCTCCTTAGTGCCCTGTGGAAAATTTGTGTGTGCACACCCCTCTAGTACTGCTGCTCGTGCTGGTCCCAATCCCCTTGCAGGTATTTAACCCCCTGGGGGGAGTGGAGAGACAAAGAAATGTTTTGCTGAAAACCTGCTCTCATTTTTCCTGAGAGGGGAAAAAATTCCCAAATGTATTGTGGCTCCAGTTTGTTCCTCTGCCCATTCCCTGGGGCTGCAGTTGCTGTTCATGTCTAGGGCGGGGAAGAAAAGAGGAACAGCTCTTGCTGTTCAAGATGATGCACATCATCTTGCTCCAAAAGTAATTAAAGTCAGGGATAATTTTTCTGGAGGAGGGTGGAACCCTGGGAAGGCGACAGGAACGAGTCTGGGACTGAGCACATCAGAAGCTGCTTTTTATTGTGGCTGCTGAGCTAAATATATCCACAGAGGCACAGAGCTGTTCCCATGCGTCTGCTGTGTGGGGTGAGGGGTGCAGGGTGCTTGGCACTGCCTGCCCTGCCAGGGGCACCCTGTGCCCCCAAACACAGCCCAGCGCCCTCCTGGTCTTTGCTCCTGGGTGGGTGAGGATCAGAGACTCATGCACAAAGCTGTGTCAGGGCAGGTTTAGGTTGGATATCAGGAAAGGTTCTTCCCCCAGAGGGTGCTGGGCACTGCCCAGGCTCCCCAGGGAATGGGCACAGCCTCGAGGCTGCCAGAGCTCCAGGAGTGTTTGGACAGTGCTGCCAGGGATGCCCAGGGTGGGATTTGGGGATGTCTGTTCAGGGCAGGGGTTGGGCTGGGTGATCCCGGCGGGTCCCTTCCAGCCCAGGACATTCCATGATTCTGAGTCCCAGTGCACACAGCGGCTGCTCAGGTCTCAATGTGGCTTGCCAGGGATGTGGTTTGAAGGAATTAATAGCTGTGTTTATGGAGCACCCGGGGACTGGAGCTGTGCAATCATTAGCACTAATGAGAGCTATCTCCATTGTGCTTGGCTCCAAACTCCTTTTTCCACGAGTCCCCTGGGAGCCCCCAGCTTCCTGCAGCCGGTGCATCACCACAGGCAGAGCTGTGCAGCCCAGCAGAGGGGCAGTGTGTGTGCAGCCCTGCAGTGGAGCAGTGTGTGTGCAGCCCTGCAGAGGGGCAGTGTGTGTGCAGCCCTGCACAGGGGCAGTGTGTGTGCAGCCCTGCACAGGGGCAGTGTGTGTGCAGGGCTGCAGTGGAGCAGTGTGTGTGCAGGGCTGCAGTGGAGCGGTGTGTGTGCAGCCCTGCAGAGGGGCAGTGTGTGTGCAGGGCTGCAGAGGGGCAGTGTCTGTGCAGCCCTGCACAGGGGCAGTGTCTGTGCAGCCCTGCACAGGGGCAGTGTCTGTGCAGCCCTGCACAGGGGCAGTGTCTGTGCAGCCCTGCACAGGGGCAGTGTCTGTGCAGCCCTGCACAGGGGCAGTGTCTGTGCAGGTCCAGCTGCTCTGCTCTCATTCCCAGGCAGGGCTGAGTGCAGTGGGTGGGATGTGATGGGTGGGTCCGGTTCTGCCCGAGCCAGGAGCCAGCTCAGCCTCGCCTGTCCCGGTCCCATTGGCGAGTCCAAGGCTGGGGACAGCTTTTGGGCTGGGTGGTGCATTGCTTCAGACGGTGAGGACTGTCTTGTCTTGTTGTGGTTTTGCATTTTGCATTTCAAGCCTTTGTAGCTGTGGTTTGATGTGTCTGTGTCGGAGCGAGCAGGGCTGTGCTGATCTGGCTGCCCTGATTCTGCCAGGCTGGGGCTGATCCGGTGCCACAGCCCCTGCCTGTGCCCAGCCCTGCCAGGGGCAGTGGGGTGGATGAGCCAGTGCAGCCGTGAGGGGCTGGTGGGCCAGGGGCAGTTCTAGGTGCAGGCTCTGTGTGCCCAGCCCTGTCTGTCACCTCATTCATGGAGGTGTCTGGTGGTGTTTCTGGGATGTGTCACCCTCTGTTCTCAGCTGCAAACAGGCCAGGGTTATGGCTGGCTGTAGGAGCTGAAGCATCCCCTGCCCTGTATGCTCTGTGCTACAGGCAGAGGTGCTGTCTGTCCCCTGCCTGCATGAGCCACGTTTCCAGCAGGGGTTGTAGAATGTCCTGAGCTCGAAGGGATGCACAGGATTCAGCTCCTCGTCCTGTGCAGGACACCCCAGCAGTCTCACTCTGTGCCTGAGAGCATTGTCCAAATGCTCCTGGATCTCTGGCAGCCTTGGGGCCGTGCCCATTCCCTGGGGAGCCTGGGCAGTGCCCAGCACCCTCTGGGGGAAGAACTTTTTTCCTGATATCCAACCTAACCTTCCCCTGGCCCAGCTCCAGCTGTTACATTGGATCCTGTCACTGTCACAGAGAGCAGAGATCAGAGCTGCTCCTTGTGAGGGAGCTGCAGACCTCGATTGATCTGACCTCAGGCTGCTTTTGTCCAGTCTGAACAAGCCAAGTGACCTCAACTGCTTCTCATATGGTTCCTCAAGGCCCTTCACCATTTTTATGTCCCCCTCTGGACAGTCCTTTCTGTCCTTACACTTGTGGTGCCCCAAACTGCATCCAGCACTCAAGGTGAGGCTGCAGCAGTGCAGAGCAGTGGGGAGCAGTCTTTTCCCCCTGGCTGTGCTGGACTAGGCACACTCTAGGACATGAATCACAGGATGGGCTGTGCCCTCATCCTCAGGGCCAGACTGGTGTCCCCCAAGCCTGTGCTGCACTCAGCCTGCTTCTCTTCCCACAGGATCCGTCCGCAGCTGCCCAAAGAGAAGATAGAGGGATGTCACATCTGTACCTCGGTGACACCTGGCGAGCCACAGGTGCTGCTGGGCAAGGACAAGGCCTTCACCTATGACTTTGTCTTTGACCTGGACACGTGGCAGGAGAGGATCTACACGACGTGCATGGGGAAGCTCATCGAGGGCTGCTTCGAGGGCTACAATGCCACTGTGCTGGCCTACGGGCAGGTACGGGCTCTGCCCTCAGCCCTGGGCTCTCCAGGGATGCTGCAGAGGGCACCTGGGGAGGCTGAGGAAGGTGGAGGGTGTGTGAGATCCTGGGTGTGGAGAGAACGGAGTTGTCCCTGGTTGGGTGAGAGCTGGGGGCAGGGGTGGCCTTGAGTGGGAGGGGGGGTGGCAGGGCTGGGAGTGTGGGAGCTGATGTGTCTCTGGGGGTCACAATGGCTCAGAAAGGGCATTTGGGGAGCCTAAAGTAGCAGAGGGAACATGTGGGGTGCATTGGGCAGAGCTGAGCCTGGGAGGGCCCAGCCAGCTCCCCTCTGTCTCTGCACAGACTGGAGCAGGGAAGACCTACACCATGGGCACTGGCTTCGACATGAGCATCTCGGAGGAGGAGCAGGGCATCATCCCTCGGGCCATCAGCCACCTCTTCAGCGGCATCGAGGAGCGCAGGCGGGCGGCCCAGAGCCAGGGCGTGGCAGCCCCCGAGTTCAAAGTCAGCGCCCAGTTCCTGGAGGTGGGTGGGTAAGGGGAGGTCTGGGGGACACCATGGCCCTGCCCTGTCCTTGCTCCTGTGCCTTGGGCTCCACCAGATCTCTTGGCTGGCTCCTGACAGAGCTGGACCCTGGGACAGGCATGGGAATGGGGATGTGTGCTGGTGCAGTGGGACTGGAAGCACCTACGTGGCTACAAACTGGTGGAGGGAGCTCCCACCATGGGGAAGGGCCTTATGGCTTGGTCCCCTGGGAATCCAGGGGCTCTGGGCTGTCTTACCCCTGTCTGAGGTCAAGGATAGCCTTGGACCAGAGTTCCCAGTGAAACAGGAGAAGAAAGTGCCACTCTTGTGTGGGGGGATTTGGGGAAGGACTGTGCTATTTTATGTCCTTTGTTGCATCTCTGATCTTGAGAATGCATCCTCTCCTGCCTCTGCCCTGGCTTCTCCTGTTCAAAACCTCTTCTATTAACTGCTTCATTCCCTGGAGAAGTTTGTCCTGGGAAGCACATGGTCCTTGTGTGTTGGCAGCATTTTTCCTGGAGGTTGCTTCTGGGCTGAAAGAGCAAAGAGGTGCAAGTGAGAATTGTTTTAAGGTCCCAGTGAGAAAGCACAGGGTGGTGCTGAGCAAAGCTGAGCTCCCAAGCAAGCTTCATCTGGTTGAGGTTGTGAGAGGAGATGGGCAGGGAGGGGGCCTGTGCTGTGATCTTGCCTCCTGGTGGCTTTGTTGGCCATCACATATGGGTGTCTTCAGATGCTGATGGCTTGGAGAGGGCCCAAAGTCACTTCCATGCTGGAGAAATCCTTCCCAGTTATGTCTCCATCTGCAGAGCCCTTGCTCACTCTGTGGTGCTGTTGTGTCCTTCCATTTCCATCGCTTGGCCTATCCAAGCTCCTGCCCAATTGTGCTCGGTTTGTGGGGCTTCTCTTTAGGGATCCTTTCTGCTGGGATGGAAATGGGGACAGTTTCCTGCCTGTCCTGAAGTCCTGCGTGGCTAAAGCAGCACATGGCCACCTCAGGCACTGGTCACAAACCCCGTTGTCCTGGCAGGGGCACAGGACCCGTTCTGGCTGATCCCTGTCTTGTGACTGCTCCTGGGAGCAGGTTCTGGGAGCTGGTTTAAACCCTTGAGGAGTCTGGTGGCACCAGGGGCAGCCAGGGACAGATTAGTCTGATCCCTTCTGCTGGCCAGGAACCTGCAGTCCTTGGGTGACCCAGCACTCTGCACTGGGATGTGGGTGCAAGAGGTGACATTGAATGGTGGCAGCAGGGGGGACAGATGGGCAGGGGTGTCCCTCCACCCTAGGCTGAGAGGGGCTGCAGAGTTAGGATATGGATGGAGTCAGCTCTGGGGCAGCAGGGCTTTCCTGCTTGTCCAGCACTCCCTGGTCCCCCTTATCCCCTTTCCACCTGACAGAGAGGACATTGAGCTGTGATGGGAGTGAGGTTTCACTGGCTCATGTGGCCAGGTGAGCCAGGAAGCTGTGTAGCTCCTGGGCATCTGCTCAGTGGAGCTGCTTGTGTGCACCAGGAACTGGACAGGTTTGGGAAGCAGAAACCAACCCAAAGCTCAGAGCTTTGCATGGCAAGCTCTGGAGCACCAGTCTGATGAGGAGTGGCTGAGGGAATTGCGGGGCTCAGCCTGAGAAGAGGAGGCTCAGAGGGACCTCCTTTCTCTCTACAACTTCCTGACAGGAAGGTGGGGCTGGATGGGGGTTGAGCTCTGCTCCCAGGGGCAAGGAGCAGGAAGAGAGGAAACAGCCTCAAGTTGTGCCAGTTGAGTTAGATTGGATATTAGGAAAAATTTCTTCCCTGAAGTTGTGGTCTGGCATTGGCACAGGCTGCCCAGGGCAGAGATGGAGTCACCATCCCTGGAAGTGGTCAGAAGATGTGTGGCTGTGACATTTGGGGACATGGTTTAGTGGTGAACATGACAGTGCTGGGATAAATGGTTGGACTCAATGATCTTAGAGGGCTTTTCCAGTCTGAAGGATTCCATGGTTCTGTGCTTGTACCTCCTCTGGTACACATGCACACAGCCCAGCTCCCCTGCTCAGCCCTGCAGGCAGTGTGAGCACACACAGCTATGGGGGAGTGGCAGCAGGGTGCCAGAGGGCAGCTCCTGCCAGTCCTGCAGTGCCAGGCTTCAGCAGCCTCGTGCTTCCTCTGCTCACCCCACACCCCCTGCTGCCCTGCTCAGCTCTACAACGAGGAGATCCTGGACCTGTTTGACAGCACCCGCGACCCCGACGCGCGCCACCGCAAATCCAACATCAAAATCCACGAGGATGCCAGTGGGAGCATCTACACCACGGGGGTCACATCACGCCTCATCAGCTCACAGGATGAGGTGGGTGCAGGATGGGGCAGACACAGAGCAGGGCTGGCAGCTGGGTGCCACTGACCAGGGGTGTGCTGTGTGGGGACAGCTTGGGGGGGTAGGTCTCTCCCAGGATGGGAGTGCAGTCCTGGGAGTGTTCTGGAAAAGGTCATTGTGTCCACTGAGCTGCACAGGGTCTGTCCTGACCCCCTAGAAGGGTGCTTTAAGGTTTCCTTGCCTGCCTGGTGTCATTGCAGCTGATCCAGTGCCTAAAGCAAGGAGCTCTTTCCCGCACCACGGCCAGCACTCAGATGAACGTGCAGAGCTCCCGGTCCCATGCCATCTTCACTATTCACCTGTGCCAGACCAGAGTGTGTGCCCGCCCAGAGCTGGTGAGATGTGATCCTGCCTCGTGGCCAGGCTGTTCTTGGGTTCCATGTCCAGGTGATGCATGAAGTTCCCTTGGGAAGGGGAGGGGGTTTGAAGTCTGGAAAAGAGAAGCAGGGATTTTTCTGTCTTCTTTCCAGTCATAGCCTGCATTAGGATTTAATGGGAGCTGAGGGTGAGCTGATCCAAGGCAGGATGGCTCAGAGCAAGCTGCTCTTGGGGTGCTGTCCCCTTCTCTGAGGGGCTGGATGTGGAGGGTGAACACTCAGACTCTCAAGGCCAGGGTGCCTCTGCCTGCTCCAGTTTGGGGTGCTGACCCCTGGTGTGTCCCTGGCTGCAGGTGAATGAGGAGGTGAGCAGCCTTCTGGATGGATCCCAGCCTGCTGCTGAGTACGAGACCTTGACAGCCAAGTTTCACTTTGTGGACCTGGCTGGCTCGGAGAGGCTGAAGCGGACGGGTGCCACTGGCGAGAGGGCGAAGGAGGGGATCTCCATCAACTGTGGGCTGGTAGGCACCAGGCTGCACCAGTAGGCAGGGGGGTGGCAAGGCAAGGCCTGCCAGGGGAAGCCTCTGACACTTCTGGGTCTTGCTTGGAGCTGCCCTGTGCTGTTGGGGTATGCTGTCGTGGCTGGGGTTTGTGCTGCCTGTGCCTGATGGTGAGAGCATGCACAGTGCCAGTGGTGGGAGTACAGCTCTGCTGCCAAAGGAGACTCGTGCTGTGGGAAGGGGTACAGCTGGGCACAGGGGTGCAGCTCCCAGAAGGGTGAGATCTGCTAATCAGAGCTAAAAATCCCACCCTGGGGCTTGATGCTTCTCAGTGCAGCATGGGAGAGAGGCACAGCCCAGGCAAAGGGAAGCGCCACGCCTGCCCCTTGTGCAACCCAAAGCTGTGTTACAGTGTGTCCCCCAGGCCTGATGTGCTCTATCCTCAGCCAGGGCTGAATCTGGGGGGGCTTCCCTTTGTGTTGGTAGTTGGCCTTGGGGAATGTCATCAGTGCCCTTGGAGACCAGAGCAAGAAGGTCGTGCACGTGCCCTACCGTGACTCCAAGCTGACTCGCCTGTTGCAGGATTCCCTTGGGGGCAACAGGTAAGGGGGTCCCAGGTGGGGGCTGAGCTTGAGCCAAGGGCTGCAGGGGCTGTCCCCCTGCCCATGGGGCTGAGAGGGCTTTGGAGCTATGCAGCAGCTGTCTCAGGACTCCAGAGGCTGCCTGGTGAGGAAGAGATGCCTTCTTCCAGGCAAGGCATGACTTTGCAGATGCAGACAGCATCAGCCTCAGGTGCAATTAGCAGCTTTGGCAGAATCAGCTGATGCAAAACCTTCCTGAGCCCTCACATATCTGGGACTTGGCAAGTGATGGTGCCCAGAATGGGATTGAATTCCCTGCCTCTTCTCCAAAGAGGGAGGCATTGAGGAAGGGCTGCCTTTGCCCAGTGCTGTGTGATGTGCTTGAGGGGTCTTGTGGCTGCTCTGGCTCTGGGAGGGATGAACCCAGTTCATACCTTGTTCTAAAACCCAGAAGGGCACAGGATGGGCTTCCATCCAGGATGGGTGTCTGGGGGCAGTGCTCTGTGCTGAGTCCTGGGTTTGCACCTGCTGAGTTGCTGAGCTGTGCAGGGACTGTCTTTCACTCTGCCCTTGCATCCCCAAGCCAAACCATCATGATTGCCTGTGTGAGCCCCTCTGACCGGGATTTCATGGAGACCCTGAACACACTCAAGTACGCCAACCGGGCTCGCAACATCAAGAACAAGGTGGTGGTGAACCAGGACAAGACGAGCCAGCAGATCAGCGCCCTGCGCGCCGAGATCGCCCGGCTGCAGATGGAGCTGATGGAGTACAAGGCAGTGAGTGGTGCCATGTCCTGCTGTACCCAGCAAGGGAACCACTGCAGCGTTGTTCACTGCCCCCCAGTGGGATGGGAGAGAGGAGTGGGAGAGTAACAGTGAGAAAATTCCTTGGTTTAGGTACAGTTTAAGAAGTAAAGCAAACTAAGGAACTCATTCCTCATGTCCCATCACAGGGAGGTGTTCAGCCATTCCCAGCCCAGCACAGCTCTGTCAAGTGTAAAGTGACTTGAGACAACACTCAGGCATCCCCTCTTTCTGCTTCCTTCCCCCAGCTTTATATGCTGAGCATGACATCTGTGGTTATGGATATCCCTGTGGTGAGTGGGGGACAGCTGTCCTGGCTGTGTCACCCCAGCTCCTTGTGCACCCCTGGCCCAGTGCTGGTAGGGGCAGAACAGCTCCTGACTCAGCAGGAGCTAAATCATCCCTGTGGGATCAGTGCTGTTCTCAGCACAGATCCCAAACACAGCACCACACAAAAGCTGCTGTGAGGAAAATGAACTCCACCAAAGGCAAACCCAGCTGATGGAGCAACCCTGGTGAGGAGGCAGAGACATGTGCAGAAAGACCCCTCCTTGTGTTTGAGTTGGGGCAGGTTTAGTGGGACAGACCCTCCTGCCTCCCATCCCCTGCCCCCTAGGAGAAACTGCTAGGAGGAGTCAGGAGGTTTAAGAAACAGGGTCTCAGCTCCTGCCTGTCAAGGCAGGACCTTGGCCAGGTTTTGGGGGTGGTAAGGCAGGGAGAAGCTCTGAAGCATCTCCTACCCTCTGAATGTTCAGCTCAGGCTTTCCTGGTGCCTAGCTTTGTCCCTGCTGTGTCTGGGATTGCCCCCAGGGTTGCAGTGGTGGGTCTCCGTGTCCCAGCTTGCCCTGCCCTCAGGGGCTCCCCTGCTGTGCCCCCAGGGCAAGCGGGTGATCGGGGAGGACGGCTCGGAGGGCTACAGCGACCTGTTCCGGGAGAACGCCATGCTGCAGAAGGAGAACAGCGCCCTGCGCATGCGCGTCAAGGCCATGCAGGAGGCCATCGACGCCATCAACAGCAGGGTCACCTACCTCATGAGCCAGGAGGCCAACCTGATGCTGGCCAAAGCAGGTGAGGCTGGGCTGGTGCGTGGCATGCTGGGCCAGCCCGGGCAGCAGCAGGGCCGGGGGCTGTGGTACAGCAGTGTGTGCCTCTCTCCACCGCTGCCTCTGCGCTGCAGGTGACGGGAACGAAGCCATCGGCACCCTCATCCAGAACTACATCCGGGAGATTGAGGAGCTGAGGTGAGCGGGCACACAGCTGGGCACTCTGGGCTCCTGGGGCCAGGGGCTAGGGCTGCGTGGCTCACACAGCTCGGTGCCTCCAGCGTTGCTGGGGTGGACTGTAAGCCCTGCTGCTATGCAGGATTGAAGGAGGCCCAGCCTTGGTGCCAGGCAGTGCTTTGGCTATTGTTGTCCTTGGTATGGGCGTTGATGGAGGGGGAGGTCCTGTTTGAAGTGCCTGGGGTCTTCCAGGGACTGCTGCCTCCCAAAGGTGGGTCCATCCCAGTCTCTTGCTCGATCCTGGTAACCTGTCTGGCAGCATTGTGGCTTTCTGACCAATCATTAGGGGGAATGGCTTCGTAGTGACTCTGTCCTTGGCACACATCATATTCAGTCTGTAGAAGACTCTGGGGAGACCCTAGAGCCCCCTTCCACTGCCTAAAGGAGGCTTATAAGAAAGAGGGAGAGTGCTGGATTTTTTTTTTTTTAAGGTGGACAGATAGCTATAGGACAAGGGAAAATGGCTTTAAACTCAAAGTGGAGAGATTTAGATTAGAAGTTAGGAAAAAATTCTTCCCTGTGAAGGTGAGGCAGTGACACAGTTTGCTCAAAGCAGCTGTGGTTATTCCATATCTGTAAGTGTGTGGAGCTCAGAGCAACCTGGTCCAGTGGAAGGTGTCCCTGCCCCTTCCATAGCAGGAATGTGGAACGAGATGAGGTTTAAGGTCCCTTCGAGCCCAAACCACTCTGTGATTCTGAACCCAGGCAAGACCCACCCTGTAGGGGTGGCCCCTCTTTGACTGTGCTGTTTGCACTCCCTAGGACAAAGCTCCTGGAGAGCGAGTCCATGAACGAGTCCCTGCGCCGCAGCCTCTCGCGGGTCTCGGCCCGGCCCCCGTTCCCCGTGGGCTCCTCGCCGGGCGCGGGCCTGGCCGGGCTCTGCAGCCCCGCGGCTCCCCTGGACACCGAGGCCTCCGACGTGCTCCGAAGGGCCAAGCAGGACCTGGAGCGCCTGAAGAAGAAAGAGAGGCGGCAGCAGAGGAAGAGGTGGGGTCAGGTGTTGGCAAGGGGAGGCTGAGTCTGTCCCTGTGGGGTTGGGTCTCCTGCTTCCCCCAGCTCTGCTACGGCCAGAGCCCGCACATCTGCATTCCCCTCCCAGCCCTGCCCTGCCCTTGGTCGCCTTTTCCCATCACATAATTCCAGAGGCTGTTTTCCCCAAAGAGTCCAAAAGCAGGAGGGAGGGTGCCCAGCAGAACCTCTGTCATGCTGGGACTCACCAGCCCCCTCTGTTCCCCCCAGCCCAGAGAAGGAGGCGTTTAAGAAGAGGCAGAAACTGCAGCAGGACAATGGGGAGGAGACGGATGAGAACGAGGTGGAAGAGGTGAGTGGGCATCGTGCTCACACTGTGGGGGTGTCTGGGTGGTGGAGCACTGAAATTGCCACACGTGGGACAGGGACCAAGCTCAGCCTGGCACTGAAGCAGGCTGGAAGGGTCGTTCTGCTGAGGACTCCATGCTGGAGCAGGGCGGAAGCTGGGTACTCCCCAGTTAGCTTGGATGTAGAATGAGGAGTCCACGTTTTTGGGGGCTTGGTTTCAATCAGCATAGATGAGGAGGGGTCAGCTGGGAAGGGATGGATACAAGAATGGATGGGTCAAATTGCTGTTCCTCTCAACAGTATGTGCTGGTCCAGAAATGGTGCTGCAGCCCCTGGGAATCCTGTGTGGGAGGCCGAGTCCCACCTGGGGGGCTGTGGCCCATTGCTGTAGGGTGAGCTCAGGTTTGGAGGAGGGAGAAGCTGTGGCCAGAAGGACAGACCATCCTGTTGGCTGAGATTAGGCACTCATCTCTTAGGAGGAGGAAGAACAGGATGAGAGTGGCTGTGAGGAAGAGGATGGGCGCGAGGATGAAGATGAGGACTCGGGCAGTGAAGAGAGCCTGGTGGACTCGGATTCGGATGCAGAGGAGAAGGGTAAAGTGGAGATCTGTGTGCAGCCATGGGCATGGAAGGGCACTTGCTGGTATCTCTGGCAATGAGCTCTGCTCTTGGGGAGGCACAGCTCACCATGCCCCAGCCATGTCTGCTCTGCGGGACTTGGAAGAGCCCCAGGGCTGCTGCAGTGCTCTTTGGGTGCTGCTGCTCCCAGCACTGGGGGTTCCCATCAGCTCCTCTGCCCTCTCCATGTGCTGTGACTCAGTGGGGCCATGGAAGTGATGCTCCCCATGCCTCCCAGCCTGACTTTCTCCTCTGCCTCCAGCTGTGAATTTCCAGGCCGACCTGGCGGATCTGACCTGTGAGATTGAGATCAAGCAGAAGCTGATTGATGAGCTGGAGAACAGCCAGCGGCGTTTGCAGACCCTCAAGCACCAGTATGAGGAGAAGCTGATCCTACTGCAGAACAAGATTCGGGACACGCAGCTGGAGCGAGACCGGGTCCTGCAAAACCTCAGTGAGAACTGCCTCACCCTTGGGATCCCATTCTCAGACCCCAGTTCCAGCTCAAGCCCAGCTAACTCTAAGTCAAATCATCCACCCCTTGCCCTGGTAGAGCTTTGTCATCCCCCTACCTCCCCTTGAATCCCTGGCACCCCCAAGACTCTGCTTGTCTTGCTGTGGGAGCAGCATCAGTCAGCTGCACAGCTCTGGACTCTGCTGGTGCTGGAGAAGGGTGGCCAGGCAAAACCTCTTCCAGCCTTGAGCACCACTTCATGAGCTGGGGGGACTCCTGGGGAAAATCAGGGGCAAAAGACCCAGTGGGGTGGCTGATCTCCAGGCTTAAATAGGGCAGGGTCACCCCTGTGTGTGGCTGTGGGTCCCAGTCTGCAGCCCTGCTCAGGCCAGCCACTGTATCTCCACTCTGTGCCAAGCTCTTCCAGCGGGTATTCCCAGACAGACCAGACCATTCCCAGTTCACAAAGGGTGAGGGGGCTCTGATGGGACAGGGAGGGATGCAATGCTTGGTGCCTCCAGGCAGGTATGTGGGTACAGGAGGATCCCGGGGTGCGTTGCGAGCTCTCTCCTCACCCACCAGGCACCATGGAGTGCTACACAGAGGAGAAAGCCAACAAGATCAAGGCAGACTATGAGAAGCGGCTGAAGGAGATGAACCGGGACCTGCAGAAGCTGCAGGCAGCCCAGAAGGAGCACGCTCGCCTGCTCAAGAACCAGTCCCGCTACGAGCGGGAGCTGCGGAAGCTGCAGGCAGAAGTGGCCGAGATGAAGAAGGCAAAGGTACCTGGATGTGCCGGGGCAGGGAGGAATCCTGGACAAGCCCGGCTCCCCGCTTGGAGCAGTGTTTTGCACTCTGGTGGCAAGTGCAGAGCGTGTGTCTGCTGGGAGGGTGGGTGGCCCGGGGCGGTGGCACAGCGGCCCCTCCTCGCAGGTGGCGCTGATGAAGCAGATGCGGGAGGAGCAGCAGCGGCGGCGGCTGGCCGAGACCAAGAGGAACCGGGAGATCGCGCAGCTCAAGAAGGAGCAGCGCCGGCAGGAGGTGAGAGCCTGCCTTGCCCCGTGCAGGGGCTGGTCTGGCTGGGGAGGGGGTGTTTGTCCTGCTCTGGCACTCCAGCTGCTCACAGATACCTTGAAGCTTGGTGAAGCCTCACTGGAGGTCCTAGCAGAGCACAGCTGGATGAACAGCTCCCGAAGGCTTCCCACTGCTCCTGTTGGAGTTGTGGGGGATGCTGTGGGAGGGGGGAATGTGCAACCAGAGCCAGCTCAAGGCTCATTGTTAGACTCAGGAGTGAGACTGCCAAAAGGAGCACTGGGACTGCGACCACGTCTGGGCTGGACCTCATGGGTGTCTTTTTCTTTCTCACTCATGCAGTTCCAGATCAGGGCTCTGGAATCTCAGAAGCGACAGCAGGAAATAGTGCTGCGGAGGAAAACCCAGGAGGTGAGGAAAGGGGGTTTCCTCCACATAGCCCCCAGCTTCCATGGGGATCTGGGCCCCAGTGCTTGGCTCAGAGAAATCCAATCTTTCAGGCAGGGCTGGCTTTGGGAATGGGGTCTGCAAAAGGCGGGGAGAGGTTTTATGGCTCAGGAACTGGGTGGAAAAATGGATGTAGGCAGCAGCAGAGTTCCCCATCCCAAACAGCAGAGCTGGTGGCAGGGGTGGGCCACGAGGGGGGAGAGGGAACTCCATGAGGCACAAATGTCCCTGAGCTTTGCTGCTCTCAAACCTGTGGGGACCTGGGGGTGATGCCAATGGGTTTAGGCTGGGTGGGGCTGCCCAGCTGACACTTGCTGTCCTTCCTGTGGGCAGGTGTCAGCACTGCGCCGTCTGGCCAAGCCCATGTCAGACCGGGTGGCGGGCAGGATGAGCCAGAAGCCGGCCATGATGGACTCGGGCGCGGAGGTCTCGGCCAGCACCACCTCCTCCGAGCCCGAGTCTGGCGCTCGCTCCGTCTCCAGCATTGTGCGCCAGTGGAACAGGAAAATCAACAACTTTCTGGGAGACCCCTCGTCCTCCATTAATGGGGCTCGGCCGGCCAGGTCAGGGCAGGGGCTGGGTGCTAGGGGGTGAGGCATCTCAGGGCCCCCCATGCCTGGCTTTTGGCGGGTGGTGGAGGTTGAAGGGTGGCTGCTTAGTGTGCACTTGAGCCATATTAAATCAGTGACCCTGTGATAAGCTGTGCTGGCAGAGTGTGACTGTCACCTGGGTTTCAGCTCAAAGCTGGCCTTCCATGAGGATTAAATGTTGTGGCACAAACCCTGCTGGACTCATCTCTTGTCCCACTTTGCTAAGAGGAAAAGTTGGGCTATGTGGAAACAACACAGATGCGTCCTCTGTTTCTGGCCAGCCAGATCCCAGATCCTTGGGCAAGCCTAGCTCTCCAGCGTGGTGTGGCCATCTGCCCAAATGCCTCTTCTTCCCTCTGGCTGTAGGAAGAAGTTCCCCAAGAAGGGGACGAGCCAGACCTTCAGCAAAGCTGCCCGCCTCAAGTGGCAGTCCCTGGAGCGGCGCATCTTCGACATTGTCATGCAGAGAATGACCATCGTCAACCTGGAGGCAGACATGGAGAGGCTCATCAAGGTGGCTGTGGCAGTGGGGACAGAGAGGGCTGGGTGGTGGGTGCAGGACCGGGAGGTGGCCATGTGGACAGTGCTAATCCCACCTTCCCTTTTCCCCCAGAAACGTGAGGAGCTGTCACTGCTGCAGGAGGCGTTGCTGGGCAAGCGGGCAAAGCTGCAGGCAGAGAGCCCCAAGGAGCAGAAGGGTCTGCAAGAGCTGAACGAGGAGATTGAGGTGCTGGGGGCCAACATTGACTATATCAACGACAGCATTTCAGACTGCCAGGCCACCATCATGCAGATTGAGGAGACCAAGGTGAGCAGTAGGGCTGGGTCTGGCTGGCAGAGAGAAAATGAGAGCATCCCTCTGTGGAAAGAGCACCCTTGGCCACAGCCAGCTGGGGCTGGGCTCTGCTCAGAGGACCCACAGTCCTCTGAGCTGTCACTCTTGGTGTGGCTTCACCCACACAGTCACTTCTCATTAGGTGATTAATTACAGAGAGGAGTTCTGGCAGGTCCTTGCATGTCCATGGGCAAGCTGCTGGTGTCCTGCTGCCCTGGAATTGTAGGGAAGCTGCGGCCCCCATTTGTCCGTGGGGCTGGTGGTCACTTGTACCCATGGTTGTTGCTTCATGCACTGGAAACATCCTAGGAGGACTGGCTTTTTTCCCAGCAGAAACCATCTAGATTTTCTGTCCAGTTGTGATACTGGGCATGCCACTGGGCAGCTCCCAGCTCCCCTCAATGCTTGCAGCCTGAAATGGAGGCTGTGTACTGTCCCTGCCTTGTCCCCAGCTGTCACCTTGATTAGCAGAGAAGAAGGGCTGCTGTTAATTCACACTGGGCTTTGGGTTGTGGATTGGGTGAGCCTGGTGTCTGTTCACTGTCTAGTTTTGTGTTGGAACCAGAATTTCTGTAGCAGTGCATAAGCCCTTCAGCGCTGGACTGTCCCATGGCTGGATCTCCCCAGTAGCCACTGGGCAGACTGGGGAGGGTGAGGGCTGGACTGGGCAGTGCTTGCAGGTGATGGAAGTGCTGTGCTTGCCATGGAGGCCCTTCCACCCATCCCACATCCAGCAGCAAAGCTATCCTACTGCATCCAGCCCTTTTCTCTCCGTGTTTCAGGAGGAGCTGGACTCCACGGACACCTCGGTGGTGATCAGCTCCTGCTCCCTGGCCGAAGCCCGGCTGCTGCTGGACAACTTCCTGAAAGCCTCCATCGACAAGGTGTGGGGCAGGGCTGGGGTGTGGATGTGTGACAGGGTTTCTTCCTGGGTGCCAGGGTGGGAACCTGGTGGCAAGGACCTGTGGCACCTTCCTGAGTGCCAGCATTGCTTGCGCAGGGGCTGCAGGTGGCCCAGAAGGAGGCCCAGATCCGGCTGCTGGAGGGGCGCCTGCGGCAGACGGACGTGGCCAGCTCCTCGCAGAACCACGCCCTGCTGGACGCCCTGAGGGAGAAGGCTGAGTCCCACCCTGAGCTGCAGGCACTGATCCACAATGTCCAGCAAGGTGGGGCCTGAGGCAGGTGCATCTTCAGGCCAGCTGTGCTGCCTGTGGGCTGAGTGCCCACCCATACTGACCCTCCAGAAAGCACCTGGAGGTGCTGTGGCTGGGACCCTGCCCAAGGGCCATGTTGGGTGGGAGCATGTGCCCTGGCCATGGATAACAGGGACAAGCACTGGGTCCCCTCTGCCTTCTTGGCTATGGATAACAGGGACAAGGACTGGGTCACCCTCCATGCCTTCTTGGCTATAGATAACAGGGACAAGGACTGGGTCACCCCCCATGCCTTCCTGGCCATGGATAACAGGGACAAGGACTGGGTCCCCCCCCACACCTTCCTGGGCTGCCCCCTCTGCTGCAGGGTTTGGATGGGGCTGGTGACAGTGGGGTCCTCTCTGGGTCCCCTCTGCTGATGCATTGTCTCCCTCTCACAGAGAATGGCTACATCAGCACAGATGAAGAAGTTTCAGAGTTCAGCCTGGCCTCAGATGGGAGGTGAGCACCCAGCCTGGCAGTGCCTGAGGTGGTGGTGGCTGGAACACAATGCCTGATGCAATTCATGGACCTCATAGAGGGGCATGGATGAACAAAGCCCCACCTGAGCTTTTCTGTGGTGCCCAGCCCTTGGTGGGGGGAGCAGGATGTCTCTTGGACACAAGCAGGGAGTGAAGGCTTGGTCATTCCTTGGAGAAAGGATGCTGGGGGGCAGAGGGTGACCCAAGGAGTCTGGTGGACCAGTGGCAGCAGCTTTCTGAAGAGAGTTTGGCACTGAAGATCCATCTTTGCTCCTTTCTCCTTGCAGCATCTCCCAGTCTTTCACCATGAAGGGCTCAGCAAGCCAAGATGACTTCAAGTTCAAGGTTAGTTGGCCTTTTTTGTGACCTGGTCACAGAGACTGGGAGGGGGGATGGAGGGATGTTCAGTGATGCTTCAGGCCTCTACTCTGCAGTCTGAACCTTGGGGAACCAGGCTTGGCATAAGGCAGTATGGCTGCTCTCTGGATGGGCAGAACCAAGGTCTCCTGGTACAGTGGTCCTGTCCTGGAGCACCAGAGACTTGGGAAACACTCACCACACCAGGCAGTACCTTCCAAATCTGAGTGGCACTGAGGATGTCCCCGTGGAGGGAAGCAGCCATTGTTCTGTACAGGCTGTCATGTTTGCTGGAGGGCTGGCTGTGATGGGCATTCCATTGGGACATGGGGGAGCTGGTTTGTGGCCAGAGAGCACAAACTCTTCCAGCCCACATCGCTGGCTGCTCCCGCTGCCCCCCGTGCTGCCTGCCCTGAGTCCTCTGCCCTGCTCTAGGGAGAGCCCAAGCTTTCGGGGCAGATGAAGGCAGTGTCAGCTGAGTGTCTGGGACCCACGCTGGACGTCTCCACCAAGAACATCACCAAGTCCTTGGCATCCCTCATGGAGATCAAAGAGGACGGGATCGGCTTCTCCATCCGGGACCCCTACTACAAGGAGAAGGTGTCGCGCACCATCAGCCTGCCCACGCGAGGGAGCACCTTGTGAGCATGGGCCACGAGTGGCGGGGAGGCTCAAGGAGGCCTGGGCCTGGGGAAGCTGTGCCTGGCCTGTGGAGGTGCAGAGAGGTGAAGGGGAGCCCAGTCCTGCATCTATCCATGCTTGGCTACAGCATGCAGTGGTGAATTTCCTCAGCGGGGCTTGGAGAGTGTAGGAGTACGTTGGTGTCCTTTGCAGATGGAGAGGAGGATACTTCAGGAGCGGGGAGAGAAGGGGGAGGTCCCCAACTCCCTGCTCTGGGTTATCAGCCTTTTTGAAGGTGTCTTGGGTTGCCCCTGCTCTTGTGGGCTGCCATGAGATTGTGGCTCCAGCCCAATCTCTTGTTTGCTCTTCTGGGGGAGGACAGAGGTGTTCACTGTGGAGGGATCCTGGTGCAGGGGCAGGCACCCACTCTGCTTTGTTCACTTGCTGCAGTCCCAGGCAGTCCCGGGGCTCGGACACTTCGCCTCTGACACGGCGGAAATCCTATGACCGTGGGCAACCTGCCAGGTGAGCTTGGGAGGATCAGTGACGTGGGCAGGGGGGCTGTGTGGCCCAGGATTCTTTCTGGTGCCAGTCAGATGCCAGGTGAGCAGTTCCCAAGTCACGTGTCACTCTGATCCTTTGGCTCAGGCCTACAGACATTGGCTTCACACCACCCTCATCCCCACCCACTCGTCCGCGCAATGACCGCAACGTCTTCTCCCGTCTCACGAGCACCCAGAGCCAGGGATCTGCCTTGGACAAGTAAGTCCTGCTGGGGTGAGAGTGTCTGAGCAAGGGGAACCCAGACCAGGATAGCACATGGCACGTACCGAGTCCTGTGGGGTATATAGGAACACCAGGGCTTGGATTGGCTCCAGCCAGTGTCCTGTCACCACTTCACCTCCCTGCTGCTCCCTGTGGTGGGGCAGCTGCCGTGCCAGGGCTGTGCTCCTGCCCACTGTGCCCCTCTGAGCTCACAGTCCTGGCCTCTGCCTGCAGACAGGGTGGTGCCAGACTTGGACCCCTGGAAAGATGAGGGAGCAGGATGGGGTGAGGGGATGAGGGCTCAAAGGAAGCTGATGGACTGGCATCCAGCCACAAATGCTGCTCCAGCCTCTCCTGGCAGCTGGGCTGCTCTGGTCGAGTGCTGCTCTGGGCTTGCTAGCAGCGCTGGTGTTCCCTGATGGAGACCTGCTGTCTGATCCTCACATGCCCTCCTGCTCTTCTGCTCTCCCTTGGTTCTCCATGTGTGCTTCTCCTTCTCCCTCCCTCCACTCCTTCTCTCTGTCCTACATGGCTTGGATGCAATAACAATCTTCCACCTCTGACTCCACCGCTGCCTTCTCTAGTCTGGGTTTTCTCTCCCATAATCCTGCTAATTTTCTGCCCCTAGGTCTGATGACAGCGATTCCTCTGTCTCGGAGGTGCTGAGGTATAGACAACTTTCTATTTATTATCCCTTCCTCCACTCCTCCTTCTCTCTGTCAGATGCCTGCTCTCCCTGTCCCTGCATGCTCTGCCTGCAGCTTGCTGCTCTCCCCCCATCCCAGCCTGTGTGTCTGTCCCCCTGGCATGCCCCCTCTGGTGCCTGATGCTGTCCCTCAGCTGCAAGTCCAAACTGTTCCTGCTTGGATTAGCCCTTGGTACGTGGTGCTGGGCTCACTGATGGGTGCTGGCTGCTTTGGGTTGGCAGCATGTTCTCCTCCAGCTCTGATGGTTTCTTGCCAGCATGAGGCCAACCACGTCCCACCCCTTCCCCAGCTCTCCAGCAGGATGGGGAGATGATGGGGAAGGGTGCTTGCAGTACATCCTTTGTGCAAGCTTCTTCCAGGCAGTTATCTCAGGTTCACCTCCTGCCTGGTTGTGCTGAGTTGGAAAAGGTCAGTCTCTTTCCTGAAGAAATCAAGTCAGATTGTGGTGCAGAGCTCAGCCTTGAAGTTAAGGTTCTCCTGGGCTTCTCTCCCTGCATCCACCTCACTACAGAGGTTTCCCAGAACAAGGGCCACATTTCCCCCATCCTTTAGAAACATTGCAGCCTTCCAGTGCCTAAAGGGCCTTGTAATAAAGAGGGAGAGCAACTTTTTACATGAGCAAATAGTGACAGGACAAGAGGGAACAGTTTAAAACTGAAAGAGGAGAGATTTGGACTAGATGTTAGGAGCAATTCTTCCCTCTGAGGATGGGGAGGCCCTGGTACAGAGTGCCCAGAGCAGCTGTGTCTGCCCCTGGATCCCTGGAAGTGTCTAAGGCCAGGCTGGATGGGGCTTGGAGTCACCTGGTCTAGTCTAAGGTGTCCCTGCTCATGGCACGGGCATGGAATGAGATGGTGTCTAAAGTGCCTTCCAACCCAAACAATTCCATGGTTCCATGATCAGCCCTCCAGCACCCAGGTGTCCCCTCCCTCTGCCTGTGCCTTGAGCTCCTGCAGGCCCCCATTGCTGCAGAAGTGACACCAGACCAGTCTTAGAGAGTCACCTGGGAAGTTTGTAGTCAGGGAGCCACTCAAAGTCCATGGAAGATGCAGTGCAGGGATTTCCCCTTGGATTCAGTGCTGCTTTGAGGCTGTTGGAAGCACTGGGGGTGAGGGGAAGGCTGTTGGCTTGGCATTGGTAAGTGCAGAGCTGAGGAACATCACATGCATGTTTGATTTCCAAACCCAGTTAATGACTCTGTGCTTGTCCTCACAACTAATGCAAACCTCGCCCTTCTCTAGCCCCATGCATCAGTTTCCCTGTCTGTAAGAAAAAACTAGCACAACTTTGGGTGTTGTGGCTGTGCTTGATGACCAGGCACATGGGGGTCACACACAGGAGGGTCAGGCTGGTGGTCCTCAGCACCCTGAGCATGTCTGAAGTGGAGGGGATTGGCAGATATGTCCCCCAGGACACACAGCAGTGTTCCTTGGCAGCAGATTTGGCAGGGGTAGGTGCTCTCCTGCCCAGAGCCAGCAGTGGGGGCAGGAACAGCCATTGCAGCAGGGATGTGGGGGGCAGATGCTGGTGGTGCCCTTTGTCACCCTTGTGATCTGTGTAAAGGAGTGAGGCCCTGTCTTCAAATGCCACCAGCCAAAGGGTGACAGCCTCCAAGGGATGGGGGTGCTGGTACTGGTACTCTGAAACATTATCCCAGCAGAGCTTCAGCTTCAGGCTGGACAGTCCACAAATGGACCTCAGGGGCCAAGGGGCTGAGTCTCCTGAACTGTCCTGGGTCTGTGCTGGTGAGGCAGGAGAGGTTTGGGGGGAGAGCAGAGGTCACTGGGCAGCCTCCCCCTTTCCGTGTCTGAGGGCAGGGGCAGAGGTGGGCAGGGGGTGCCCATGGGGACATTCTGGGGTTTCCACAGAGACCTCACCTCAGACAGGCCACGTTCAGCTGGAGCAGCCTGTCTCAGTGCTGGGCAGTGGGAGGTGCTTGGTGTGAGACAGCTCACGTTGTCCCATGCCCTGGGACTGTGGGCACCGTGCCTCTCCACCCTGCGCTGTACCTGTTCTCTCTCTCCTGTGAAGGGGCATCATTAACCCCGTGGGTGGCACCAAGAATGCCCGGACAGCCCCGCTGCAGTGTGTCTCGGTGGCAGAGGGACACACCAAGCCTGTGCTCTGCCTGGATGCCACCGATGAGCTGCTCTTCACCGGCTCCAAAGGTGGGTGATGGGCAGAGGGGGCAGGGAGGATGCAGATGCTGTGGGAGCAGGTTGGCATTGGGAGCACGGGAAGTGTTGGCATTACAGCGCTGGTTCCTGTCTTCAGTGTTGAGCCCTGCCCTGTCCTGCCCCTGTGCTGGGGCTGGCTGGCTCCTTTCCTCTGGCCCTGTGGGTGGGGATGTGCTCAGAAGGCATATTGTTCCCAGGCCACCATGCCCTTGGAGGAGACACCCCCAACACTCCTGGGCATGTTCTTCCTCCCACAGACCGCAGCTGCAAAATGTGGAACCTGGTGACAGGCCAGGAAATCGCTTCTCTCAAGGGCCACCCAAACAATGTGGTTTCCATCAAGTACTGCAGCCACACGGGGCTGGTGTTCACCGTGTCCACGTCGTACATCAAAGTGTGGGACATCCGCGACTCCGCCCGCTGCATCCGCACCCTCACGTACGTGCAGCCCGGGGGCCTGGGCACTCTGGGCTTCTCTGCCTTTGCAGAAGCCATTTCCAGAACCTACAGGGGCTGGGACATGGCCAGATACAGCTCCTTAGTGCCAGTTTGCAGTGCTGCTTTCCTAGGGAACAGGGAGGTTGGGAGAGGTTGGGGTGAGGGAACTCATGGAGACCTCCTGCAGCAAAGCCTCAGGGTCATGAAATCACAGGATGTGCTGAGTTGGAAGGGACCCTCAGGATCATCAAGCCCACCTCCTGGCCTTGCGCAGGACACACCAATAATCCTGCCCTGTGTCTGGGAGCGTTGTTCAAACACTTCTTGAACTCAGACAGGCTTGGAGCTGTGCCCATTTCTCAGGGAGCCTGTTCAGTGCCCCAACACCCTCTGGGGGAAGAACCTTTTCCTAACATCCAAACTAAACATCTCCCAGCTCAGCTCCAGCCATTCCCATGAGTCCTGTCACATCATGAGAGGAAATAGATCAGTACCTGCCCCTCTGCTGCCCCTCATGAGGATGCTGAAGACCCCAGTGAGGTCTCCCCTCAGTCTGTTCTAGGCTGAACAAACCAAGTGACCTCAGGTGCCCCTCATGAGGCTTCTCCTCCAGACCTTTCACCATTCTCATGGCCCTCCTTAGGATGCTCTCCAGTGACTTCATGTCTTTTTTATACTGTGGTGCTCAAAACTGCACCAAGGACTTGAGGTGAGGCTATCCCAGTGCAGAGCAGGGCAGGACAATCCCCTCCCTTGCCCAGCTGGCCATGCTGTGCCTGGTGTGTCCAGCACATGGATGTCCCTCCTGGCTGCCAGGGCACTGCTGACTCACATACACTGACCAGGATGCCCAGGTCCCTTCCCACAGCTGCTTTCCAGCCTCTGTTCCCTGCTGTATTCACACAGCCAGGATTGTTGTGTCCCAGGTGCAGATCCAGCACTTGTTAAGGGTCAGGAGCTTTGGAGAGATTTTGCAGCTGTTCTGGGGGTGGTCAGGAGAGCTGGCAGCTCCAGCAGGGGGGCACAGCCCCAAACAGCAGAGTGCCTGGGTAAATCACAGGCTCTTCAGTGGAAAACGTGGTCTCTGTGAGGAGTTTGAGGACCAGAAAGGAGCGTGGAACAGACTGGAGCTGTGGCTGCCAGTCTGGAGTAGGGCTCAAAGGTTAGGACCGTATGGTAGGTCAGAGTTACCCACTTGCCCTGGCACAGGTCTCCTTTCTCCATGCAGCCTCAGCTCATCTGCCTGGGCTTCTCTCTCGGCACAGAGGCCAAGACCTCTGCTTCCCTGTGCTGGCTGCCAGCACCCACAGCTCTTCCTGTGGGAAGCAGAGGCACGGGAGGAGAGCAGAGCAAACTCAGCTGGAAACCAGGGCAGGATGCTCTGAGTCGTGCACAGACCCTGCATCCTTGGCTGCCTTTGCAGGCTGAGCACTGGCCTGTGGGACAAGGCTCCTCTTGGTCCCATTGTGGCCAGAGGGACAGGGATACTCCAGGGCCTTTCCTCAGTGTGGGACCCAGCTGTGCCAGCCTGGAGCCAACCCTGTGGTTCCTCAGTGGCTCTGGTCTCATCTTCCCTGATGCCTCAGGTTTTGGCTTTTCTATTTTTCAGATTCTCTGCTGCTTTAGTGTGTGGGTCTGGGCTTCATATAAAGGGATAGTAAGCTCTCTTCACAGAACAGGGAGACAAAACATTTCCTGCTCTAGCTGGGGACCAAGGACAAATGATCCAAATCTCAGGCCCAAGAGCACAAACACCGTGGGCTGAAGAGAGAAAAACAAGAAGGATGGGACTGCAGGGGCTGGAGCTGTAATTGGACAATTAACTCCAATATGCAAATCGACCAGAACTTTAAAAAGAGAGAGACCCCATGACCTATCATCCATTTTGTGACCATTTTGGTTCACCTGGGGTGTAGCCCTGGCTGGTATTGCAATACAAGCCCTTCAGGGCACAGGCCTGGAGGGAAATCTAAGCACAAGGATTGAACTGAAACCCCAGGAGAAACTGAGATATATAAAGCTACAAAGTGAAATAGAAATATAGATTTAGAATATAGATTTTAGCTTTTAGTAGAAACTCATACTAAGTGCCTTGAGTATCAAAAAAGCTGCAATTGAGAATAAAAGCTTTTTTGCCTTTAGGCACAATTCTACCATAGTAGTGGTATTTTTATAAGGTTACTTTGCCCCAGACAAAATCTAAACTGCTGGGCTCTTGTGCTGCCCAAGGTGGATCTATTGAGGCCTTCTAATAACTCCCTACTTTATTCTTTAGCTCTGTCTAGTCTCTGTTCTAGGCTTTGTTCAGCCTTGACAAGGCATCACCTGTGGTAATCACATATTCTCTGAACAGAGAGAGACAGTTCTCTCCCAGGATTTTCCTGGGAAGCTGTGAGAAGGCTCAGAGAAAAGAATGAGAAACAATTCTTATCTCCACTTGCTGCACCTGTCATTGTGCACATGTGGAATGTGTTATGGAGATTTGTTTACCAAAGGTTGATGTCTTAATTGGCCACTGGTGATGGTGTTTTGGATTCAATGACCAATTAGGTCAAGGCTGTATCAGACTGTCTGCAAGAGCAATGGGGGGTCTGATGGCTCGACCTGGATGCCACAACCTTCCCAGAGAGAGGTCCCCCAAGAAACAACTTTCTAGGGGTCTCAGGCAGTCCTTCAGCCACGGGGTAACCTCAGCAAGGGGCAGGCAGCTCAGCTCTGAGCAGTGATTTCAGCTCTGCCTTGCAAGGTGTACCCAGGCCAACATGGGGACAAAGAGACAGGAGCACCGTGTGGTTGTTCTGCAGAGTTCCTTTGTTCCAGCACCCTGCAAAGGAGTCCAGGGACAGCAGCTCTCCCCTGAACAGGGCAGAAACTGCTGGGGGTTTTATGGGGAAAAGCGGGGGTGGTACAAAGGGGGAAAAACCAATTGGTCCCAATGAATCTACATGGGGTTCCAGAGCATGCTGGGAACTCACCGTGACCACGGAGGATTTCTCAATCCAGGAGAGTTTGAGAAGATCTTATCATAGTCCATTCAAGGGATGTCTCTCCAAGGGAGAGGACTGGCATGCCCATCTGTCTCCACAGATGGGTTTTTTCTTAATAGTACAATACAGTATTATAGTAATATCAGGGTGCCCCCATCACAGGAATGATTGACATCTGAGTCCAAGGCTTTGGAATGCTGAACACTTGCTTTATTATACTATATTGTACTATGTTGATATTACAAAGATTGCTAAAGAATACTAAAGAAAACTCATGACTGCCTCTCGACAGTTGGGCAACAGCTTTGTGTGATTGGCCAAGGAAACAAAACAATCCTCAGCAGAATCCAATTACCAGTTCCTTCAGGTAAACAATATCCTAACACATTCCACGTGTGCAAAACAACAGGAACAGAGAAGAGAGATAAGAATTGTTTTTCTCTTCTCTGGTGCTTCTCTCTGCCTTTCCCAGAAAATCCTTGGGAAAAATTGTGCCTTGCTTTTCTCTGTGAGGAGAAATGCAGCCACATAGTATAGGATAGTACAGTAAAGTTATAGGGTGAACCACTGAGGGAGCTGGAGGTGTTCAGCCTGGAGAAAGGAGACTCAGAGGTGACCTTATCACTCTACAGCTCCTGAAAGGTGGCTGTGCTCAGGTGGGGCTGGGCTCTTTCTCCAGTCAGCAAGTGGCAGAACGAGAGGTCACAGCCTCAAGCTGCAGCAAAGGAAATTTAGGTTGGATATCAGGAAAAGGTTTTTCACTGAAAGAATGATAAAGTTCTGGAATGTCCTACCCGGGGAGGTGGTGCAGTCACCATCCCTGGGTGTGTTTAACAAAGCCTGGATGTGGCACTGGGTGCCAGTTGAGGTGTTGAGGCTGGGTTGGACTTGATGATCTTGAAGGTCTCTTCCAACCTTGTGATTCTGTGATCAGCCTCCTGCAATCACGGAGTCGATGCTAATTACTCCCTAACATGTACGATCCATCGCCCCTTTGACCTGTCCTCCCTTCAGGTCCATACATCACCTCTTTGACCTGTCCTCCCTTCAGGTCGTCTGGCCAGGTGATCTCCGGGGATGCGTGTGCCGGGACCAGCAGCCGCACGGTGACCAGCGTGCAGGGGGAGCACCAGATCAACCAGATCGCGCTCAACCCCTCGGGCACCGCGCTCTACGCGGCCGCGGGCAACGCCGTCCGCGTCTGGGAGCTGAGCAGGTGAGCGGCTGAGCAGGTGAGCGGCGGAGCTGAGCTCGGCCGGGGGCTCCCAGCGGCTGCAGGGATGCCCCGGGGGAAATGAAAGCCTTTGTCACAGCGCAAGGTGCCTGGAATAAAAGTTTTCAGGATGCTTTCCTACGGGATTGGAGTGGTTTTGGTTTAAAAAGATTTTTTAAGATCTTAAATTTTAAGATTTTTTTAAATTTAACATTTAAGATTTTCAATTGAAAACAATTTAAGCTTATAAAGCTTTCTTAAATTTAAGATTTTTCAATTTAAAATTTAAGATTTAAATTTTTTAAATTTTAAGATTTTTTAAGATCATAAATCTTAATTTAAGAATTAAAGATTAATTTAAGATTTAAATTTAAGATTTTCTTAAAGATAAGATTTTCTTAAATCTTAAATTTAAGATTTTTGTAATTTAAAATTTAAGATTTTAATTTTTTTTTAAATTGATATTTTTAAGATCATAAGTCTTAATTTAGGGTTAAAAGAATTTTTTAAAAAAATTCTTAAGATTTAAGATTTGTAAATTTAAGATTTACAGTTGTGACCCAAGGGGTGATGAGCAGCCTGGGCTCTGCAGCCAGACGTTGGCACACACTCAGGCTGTAGTATGTAGTTTAATTAAAAGTATATAATATCACAAAATAAAAAACTTAAAATATCAAGTTTTAAAATATAGTAATATATATAGAACAAGATAAAAGTTTTAGAACATAAACCAGTTCTTCTTCTTCACCTTCGTCTTCATAAGTTTAAGTAGTATTTTATAATTAGACAAAAAAGTGCTTTGCAGACTTCAAATAATTAATTATTAAATTAAAAGTAAAAATAATTTAGATATAATTTCTTAATTAGACAATTTAACCTTATAACAAAAAATAGTTAACCCTTTTGTACCTTATTAGTAAAATACTACAAAACTACTACAAAACTACTCACTACCTGTGAGACTAATAACATAAATTTTAAAAAATAAACATTTAAATCTAAACACATTTTTTTAAATTGATATTTTTAAGATCATAAGTCTTAATTTAGGGTTAAAAGAATTTTTTAAAAAAATTCTTAAGATTTAAGATTTGTAAATTTAAGATTTACAGTTGTGACCCAAGGGGTGATGAGCAGCCTGGGCTCTGCAGCCAGACGTTGGCACACACTCAGGCTGTAGTATGTAGTTTAATTAAAAGTATATAATATCACAAAATAAAAAACTTAAAATATCAAGTTTTAAAATATAGTAATATATATAGAACAAGATAAAAGTTTTAGAACATAAACCAGTTCTTCTTCTTCACCTTCGTCTTCATAAGTTTAAGTAGTATTTTATAATTAGACAAAAAAGTGCTTTGCAGACTTCAAATAATTAATTATTAAATTAAAAGTAAAAATAATTTAGATATAATTTCTTAATTAGACAATTTAACCTTATAACAAAAAATAGTTAACCCTTTTGTACCTTATTAGTAAAATACTACAAAACTACTACAAAACTACTCACTACCTGTGAGACTAATAACATAAATTTTAAAAAATAAACATTTAAATCTAAACACAAACTATCATCTCAAGTACCTTCAATCCAAATCTCCACCAAAAAAAAGCAAAAATCAGCATTTTAGTGATGCCCTGTGTGAGGACACCTGTTAAAGGCAAGACCTCCCTGAAGAAACAGATAACATACAGCTGTAAGCTGGGAAAAACAAATCCCCAGAAGAAAAAAAACCAAAACCTCAAAAATCTCTAAAAACCAGTGAAACAGTTTGAACCAAAATGTAAATACTAAACTCAGGCTGTGCAGCCAGCTGCTGGCACACTCTCACCCTGTGCACCCAGCTGCTGGCACACTCACCCTGTGCACCCAGCTGCTGGCACACTCAGGCTGTGCACCCAGCTGCTGGCACACTCTCCTGCCCTCCTGCCCTGGATCCCGGGCAATGGGCTCTCCCTGCCCGCTCTCCCCGGGGGATCAGCCCCGGCTGGGGCAGCCCGGGCTGCGGGAGGCTGGGCTGGGAGGGCCCTGGGCTGGGAGGGCCCTTGGGAGCAGCTCCAGCGCAGCAGGGGCTGAGCTGTGCCCTCGCTCCCAGGCTGCAGCCCGTGGGGAAGCTCAGTGGCCACATCGGGCCCGTGATGTGCCTGACAGTGAACCAGACGGCGAGCAACCACGACCTGGTGGTCACAGGCTCCAAAGATCACTACGTCAAGGTACTCTGCTCCTTGGGAGCAGCACCCCCAGTCCTGTAGGGAAGTCCAGATGTTGGGAACCCCTCACTCTTCCCTCCTCCTGAAAGCTGAGCCCAGATTCTGTTTTCACCTCTGCATGTGAGGTTTTCACTTGTTTCCTCTTCCCAAATCTTGCCTTTTGCTTGGTCCACAATGCACCTTTGGAGATGAAGTTGCATTTCTCTCATGCATCAGACGCTCTGGCTGGGATATGCATGTGAGGGCTGACCCAGATGAGCAGTTCACCCTGTTCTGCTCAATTATCCCCCCCTGATGAAGATGCCTTGTGCCTGCTCAGTCACAGCTCCAGCACAGCAGGAGTCTGTCCCTTCCTTTCAGGTTTTAGCAGGTTGAATTAGAGCTGTCCCAGGGAAGTGAGGAGGAGTGGTGAGATGGTGAGACAGGATCCCCCTCAGCTGTCAGCCTGGCTCCAGAGGAGTGTGAAGGCTCACCATGAGTAAAATGCAGCAGAGTGAGGCTGTTCCTGGTGGCAGAGCTCCTCTGCTTGTGGCAGAACCCTCAGCCCCAACAGCCTCCAGTAGCCAATGCCCCATCCCATTTCCAGCATCACTCTAGGTGCCCTGAGCCTGGCACACGGAGGGTGGTGGCCAAGCTCCCCAGGGGAGGGAGTCCCCAGTGCCATCTGTGGTTTGTTACCTGCTGCTCTTCCCCAGGTGTTTGAGATCACGGAGGGCATGGTGGGCAATATTGGCCCCACTCACAACTTCGAGCCCCCTCACTACGATGGCATCGAGTGCCTGGCCATCCAGGGAGATGTCCTCTTCAGTGGCTCCAGGGACAACGGCATAAAGAAGTGGGATCTGGAGCAGCAGGAACTTATCCAGGTCTGGAGGGGAGCACAGGGCAGAGGGGGGTTGCTGCTGGGATGAGGGGGGGTTGTCCAGGAACCTAGTGCCAGTGGAGCTCCCCAGGGAGGGCACTCCCAGTGCTGGGCCACGTGTGTGTGAGGGTGTGCTGTGCCCCCATAATTCGTCCAGCAGGTGCTTGGGATTGCTGGCTCTCCTTCAGACAGGCTGAGGCATCAGTTACAGTGTGGGTGCTTGTGTTCCACCCTGAATTCTGGGTGGAATTCAGAATTCCTGAATTGTCTCCTGCCCAAGGGAGAAATCAAGCCATGATTTTGAGCCCACACCCTTGGCTCCTACCTGGGCACCACCAGTTCCACAGTCCCAGTCAGTCCCAGAGCATCAGTGAGGAGCTGAGCTCCCTGAGACAGTGAGGACCCAGCCACCCAGGATGGGTGCATGAGGCTGCCCGTGGTGCTGCAGATGAGGTTGCTCATGGCTGTGCTCTGTGCCTACAGCAAATCCCCAATGCCCACAAAGACTGGGTCTGTGCCCTGGCCTTCATCCCTGGCCGCCCCATGGTGCTGAGCGCCTGCCGAGGAGGTGTCATCAAAGTCTGGAACGTGGACACCTTCACCCCAGTCGGGGAGATCAAGGGGCACGACAGCCCCATCAACGCCATCTGCACCAACTCCAAGCACATCTTCACCGCCTCCAGGTGAGCCCTGGGCATTCTGCCCCCGTGGCCCCTGGGAAGGGGGAGACCCTGGGTTTGAGCTGTCGCCCCTGGGCCTGGGTGGGTGCTGGGTGAGCAGGGAGCGGGGAGGGAGTCGCAGCTTTTTAGTCCCTCTAGTCCTTCATCTCCTTCTGCCCACTGTAGCCTGCCCATGGCCAGGCCTGCCCACTGCAGTGCCAAGAGCTGTCCCTGGCCACCCCCTGCCCACGCTCTGGTGATGCCCTGGGTTACTCCCCTCTCAGGGACCCCTCTCCCTCGGGGCTGGGCATTGTCTGCTGCTCTCGGGGAGCTCTTCAGCAGCAAGACTCTGATATCCTCTTTTCGACCCTGTCCCTTTTCTCCCTTCCTTTTTCTCTGTCTCTCTCTGCCTCTCCTTCTCCCCACCTCCCATCTGTGCCACAGCGACTGCCGGGTAAAGTTATGGAATTACGTGCCTGGGCTCACCCCTTGCCTTCCACGACGCGTCCTTGCCATAAAGGGCCGTGCTACTAGTCTGCCTTGACCCTCCTGCTCTTTGACTCTCTTGCTCATATGCTCCTCTTCCGTCTCTCCTTCCCTCTTCTCTCCATCTCTCCCTCCCTCTGTCCCTCTCACTGTTGCTTTGCTCCTCTCTCTCTCCCCCCCCCCCTTTTTCTCTGGTCTGAGCTGCTTCTTCACGGTATGAAACTATTCTGCGTTTTTCCCCACTTGATAAGTCTTTGTTAGAATGGACTCAGCCCCTTGGCCCAGTCATTCCCCTGCCTTGGTTTCACTTCTTTTTGGTTTTTTTTCCTCGCCAAGTGCCCACATCTACCTTGGCAACTCATTGGGAAGCCATGGCCTGCCCGTGCCTTTGCATGGATAGTGGGTTGGGAGTCAGCAGCCACCCCCAAATCAGCCCATGCCCCAGGAGCAAAGCAGCTCCCTGGATATCACTGCTGGGACCTAGCTGGAGCTCATTCAAGGCGGGTAGGAGTCCTGGTGTGGGGTCAGCCCTGGAGGTCACCCTTTCCCTTTGTCCCCAGCTGCTGCCAGTGGGGTGAGCTGGAGGCTGAGCCCCATTGGGTTTGCCTTCTCCCCAAAGTGCATCAGACAATCTCCTGCCAAGGGAAAAGGGCCTGGAAGCTTGGGGGGCTGCATGCTGCCATGGTGGCGGTGGGGAACGAGCACCCTGTGGGGCAGTGCTGTGGGGCTCCTGCCCCAACCCCTGGGTCATGCTGTCCCTCTCACCTTTGTTCCTCAGCGACTTGACAGTGAAGCTCTGGAGTGGGAGGAGGTTGCCTGCGGGGTCAAACTAGAAACTGCAGAAAGACTGGAAGGCGTGGGGCAGGGTGAAGGTCAGGGTACCTCCCCCTGCTCTCAGGACTCAGTCATCCACAGCAGCTCAGCCCAGGACAGGGATTTCTTTGTGCCTGACCCAACGGGGTGGACAATGCTGCACCTGGTACTTCGAGCACTGTCAGCTCCTGTGAGGAAGCAGCTCTGTGGGGCACCAGCAGCTCCACCTGCTCTCCTGCTGAGGTTTCTCGACAGTTCTCCAGTGAACAGGAAATGTTTCATCTCTCCTCTCACCCATCCTGCTGTAAGGACTTTGGGGGTCAGAGATCCCTGACTCCTCAGAGACATCCAGTTCCCTCCTGCCACTGTGGGCCCCCGTGGCCTCTGCCGTGCTGTGCTGCTCCCGGGCTGGTTCCTGCAGGAGTCTTCTCCACCCCACGAGGACATTTGGTGTCTGCTGGCCAGGACCACAACAGAGAGGGTGCTTCTCTGGAGCCATTACTTGTGAGACACCTCTGCTGTGGGGACTGCAGAAGGATTTCCTGGTACTCCCAGCCTTCCCTGTCCTCTGTGGATGTGTCCCCAGTGGTTGGAGGGATGCACTCTGAGCTCCTTTGCCATGTTCCATCTCGTGAGGCACAGCAAGCCTGGGATGATCTCCGTTGGGCAGCTTCCAGACAGACCTGCTTCAGTTCCCTTTGGCACTCTCCAAACCCCAGTTGTAAACTCAACTGCCCCATGGCTCTGGACTCTTCCCCACATGCCCAGCCTGCTCAGCCCTGCTCTGGACATCGTGACTCCCATCAGGGTTTTGTGCTGGGTTTCTGCAGCCAGTTAAAGCCCTTGGGATGGAGAAATGAAGCAAGAATGGAGGTTAAAGGGCAAAAAGGCCAAGGCTGGATTTGTCATCTCACTGCTGTGGCTCTGTCTGTCCTTCCCGTAGGTTCTGCCCTCAGAGCTCTGCCTGGACTGGAGCTTGCTTAGGCTGGGCCTGCTGGGCTGCATGGACCCAAGGCTGGAGGGGACCAGCAAGGCAGGGAGCAGCCAGAGGCCACTGTGGCAGGAGCAGAGCGGGGAGGGGTTGCACACTCTGACCTCGCACAAGTCCCCTGACTCCCCTCTGCTCCAAGGACAATCCTGCCGCGGATGATCTTGCACAATCTCATCTCCTTGAGGTCTGGGGGCTCCACCCAGGAGAGATTCCCCAAGGATGCACATTCTTCAGGCTCTTTCCTCTGTCTCTCCTCTTCAAGGAGGGCTGGTAAGGCCCTGGTCTCACACTGGAGCTTCCCACCATCTCTCCTGTGGCCCACTGGACCATCCCCTGCTCTGTCCTGCCCTGGACCACCCAGGGTTCTTGTGGAATGGCCGAGGAGACCCCAGGATGGGTGTTCTGCCTCACACACTCTCCTTTCCCCTTTGCCACAGAAGAAGCAACACTTGAACTCAAATTTAAGGATTTCTCCGTGTGATCCCACCAGCACTGAACTGGGATCTTGGAGGCCAGGGGCTCCAGGACCTGCCCCATCAAGCACAGACCATTGCCCCTCTGCTCTCTCCAACCATGGTGATACCTTGACCAGCCCCAGGTCATCTGCCACCAGCCCTTGTTCCAAGCATTCTGGCTGGAGTGAGGGGGTTCCTCTGCATCATGACAGACAGCAGTATCTGTATTGATTTGGTGGGGGGAGGGGGGGTTGCCTATTTTGGGGAAATTCCATCCTGCTGGCTTGCCTTGTTGGAGGGTAAATGGTACATGTGTGTGTGTGTGTGAGTGTGTGTGACAGTCCCTGCTCCCTGTGACTGTGGCTGAGCCCTGCACAGCCAGCATTGGTGACTGCGTTGAGGAGAGGCTCCCATCCATCCTGTGTGACCTGTGGAACTGAGGGTGCAGCCAAAAGTGCACAGAGACCTCAGCACCCAGTGGCACACAGCCATGGGGGTCTGCAGGAGGTGTTTCCCCCCAGGCCTGCACTCATTCCTCAGCTGGTTTATCCTTTGCTTGGCTGGAGGGGCTCTGTGTGTGGGGGTGTCTCTGGTAAGTGTTTGGCTGTAGAATCTGTCTGCTCTGGGATCTCCAGTGCCTGCCCTGGAGCCTTCCCTGCTGCCATGGCTGAAGGGGACACCTAGGGTCAGAGCTGCTTTGCCTTTGCCACCAGCACCTTCCTGTGTGCAGGCTGAAAGTGCCTGTTCAGTATTGCAGGGCTGAGTGGCCACTCCTGAGCCTCTCTTGCTGCTGTGTCCAGCAGCCTCAGGCTCTCACAGCCCGTGGAGGGAGGGAGCTGCTGCTGGGGCACTGGTCTGCTGGGGCAGGGGTTTGAAGGGAGGAGAGTCCTGACTCAGGAATAGCATTCTCCAATTTAGTGCTCCCACTAAAACTGTGTACCACTCACACCCCCATCCCCAGCAGAGTGGAGAGGGGAATTGGAGGCACAAAAGATGAAGATCACAGGTTGAGATAAGAGCAATTTAAGAGCTGGAAGCAGCAGTGAGATAAAAAGCAAACAGTAAAACAGCAACAATATCAATAACAGAAGTATACAAAAGAGAGAATGATTCACATGCAGAGTGCTCACCCTGACCTGCCTGCAGCCATGTTCTACTGACCAGAGTAGACCTCTACTCTGAGGAGAAGAAATGGATCTTGCCCCTGTGTATCTCCATGGCATCAGTACATTGTGAGTAAAGCCTTACACTCTTGTGGGTCTGCTGGGCCAGCCTTGGATCCACACAGCCCAGCAGAGCCCAGTGCTGCTCTCCCCACCTGGCTGGAGGCAGGGCCCCCCTGGGTCTTGTCAGGGTGCTCACTGCTCACTGCCTGCAGATGTGAAGGTGCATTCAGGAGGATCAGAAGTGATATTAGCCCTTTTATTCTGAGTACATGCCCACTGGAAGCCGGGCTGGCATTTATCCTTGAAGAATTTCCTGCAGTTGTTGTTTTTCCTCTCAACTCACATAGCCATGCTTCTGGGGCAGAGGTGGGTTTTCCTTCCCACTTCCTCTCTGTGCTCTTGCAGGTAAAACCATAGGATGCCTTGTGATGTGTCCCCTCTCTCTCAGGAGAGGGCCAGTTGCTCCCAGCAGCACAGGCTCTGGGCTGTACTGGTGAGACAGGGGACATTTCCTCACTCCACAGTCCATGGGCTGGTCCAGTCTTAGACAGTCTTTTAACACAGCTGAGACACAGGTTGATAGGAAGGAAAAACAATGATCTTAATCATCAGAGTTGGGGAGTCACCTTTAACACTGTTTGTTCTTCTTCTGTTCAGATCCCTGAATAACCTCCCTAGAAATCTCTTTCTCCTAAGATTACGTGGACTGCACTAAGGAGACTTGGCAAAAATATGATTTCCTTAACATTCAAAGGGAATTCAGAACTTAAAAGCTGTTTTAACAGACCTCAAGGGGGAAAACTGGGTGAAAGACTGGGGAAAATCATCCACATCAGTGCCAGTGAGGCTGTGCTCTGTACACCCTCCTGCCACATGGGTGGTGTGCACTGGACTCATCTGCATCTGCAGGGCACTGCTGCTTGTTTGGATCCCTGGGGATCCCTCTAACACAGCCAGTTCCCTCAGGTGCTGGCAGCTTCTCTGTGCTGTTCCACCTGCTTGGCTGCACTGCTCCATCATCCCTGAGGGAATGCCTTTCCCTCACGCTTGGCAGGAGTTGCCTGCAGAGGCAGAGAGTGTCTGTGCTCTTCCCAGTGCCCTTGCCAATGCCCTTGTCCCAGGACAGGGATCCCAGTTCCTTGGCTTCCCTTCCATCTGGTTCCACAGCGTGGCTGCAGCACCAGCATTGCAGCAGTGGGGTCACCAGGGGCTCAACCCCCTGGCAGCTGAAACCTCTTCACATCTCAGCTCACTGGGGATAGGGATGGGTGATTATCTCCAGCCCTGCCTCTTCTTCCTGCTGTGAGGGCCCTGCTTCCTCTTCATCCCTCTTTGCAAACCGATTTGGTCTGGGATTTCTGTGTGGGGGTGACTGCTGCCAGCACGGGTTGTCCCTGTGGTTCAGCTGCAGCTGGAGTAAGCACGGTGCCTGCTGCTCTGCCTTCCTCCTCCTCCCCTGAGGGTGCTGTCTGGTGAGCAGCAGTGTCTGATGAATGCTGACCAGGGCCCAGCACACTGCAGTGGGGCTCCTGGCTGGAATTGCCACAGCATTCTCCTTTCAAGTGCTCTGTCACTTTTACAGCGTCTTGTACTTATTCAGGGGGACACTTCCCAACCATGGCAGGAGAGAATTTCTTCCAAAAGTGGCCCATTTTCTCCCAAGTTCATTCCAGTCATGACTATTCCCCATCAGGATAGATCTCTGAATAACCTCCCTAGAAATCTTTCTTTACTCCAAAGAGTATGTGGACTGCACTGAGACCTGACAAAAATATGATTTCCTTAACATCCAAAGGGAATTTATAGCTTCAAAAGCTGTTTTGACAGGCCTCAAGGAGGAAAGTGGGTGAAAATCTGGGGAAAATCATCCTCCCCTGTTCCCCCATGGCTTGGTCATGGTTGTTATTAATGGACTCCCAAAGGAAGTGCCCCAGGTAAGGGTAGAAGAGCAACACTCAAGACATATCCCAAATGACCCTCACTGCCCTTGATGTTATCATGTCATAAACTAACTAATCCTGATCCCCCTCCCTGCTCTGAGACAGAGATTGTGATGGGAGCAGACAGAAATATGTACAGGGTTAGGTACCCACATGGGCAGAGCAGGCAACATTGTCACCAGTGCCTCAGCACCTAATGTTTAGATCAAAAATGTTTAGATCAAATTTGCTTCCAACCCACTCTGGGCAGATCCGTTGTTATCTCAACTGTTCAAGCCCTACCTTGGATGCCAAAAAAAAAAGAAAAAAAAAAGCTGTTGTGGTTTAGGACTGGTATTCCCCAAATCAGTGTTCCCACTACAACTGTGTGCTGCCACAATCCCCACCTCCTTCCTTCCCTGTGGTGGGATGGAGAGGAGAACTGGAGCCACAAAAGGTAAAAAAATCACAGGTAGAGATAGGAACAAT